CCCAAAAAAAAAAAAAAAAAAAGATTCCACGCCGGAGGGCATGTCAGGGCCCTCACGAATGGTGAGGTGGTATGCTGGAAAGATGCCCCCCTCCCCTGCCAGGGGCCTGCTGCAAAGATTCTAGGCGGAAGGGCATGACAGGGCATGTCAGGGTAAGCCGGCTGTTTGAGGGTCATAATTCAAATGAAGGCATCTCGGAGGGGCAAAGCCAAAATTTCCCAAAGGAAAAACTCAAAAACGTTTGGCCACCGTCGACCGCCATTGGATCATGATCTTTGCAGTCCCTGGTCGCAACGGACCTTCACCGTCGGGCTCTTGCCTCAGCCGCCTTTCACTCTTCAGGGTTGGGACTCCAAGAGGTCAGTGAATTAGGTTTTGGCCCTTAAGGACACTGCGGCCATCTTCACCCAAATACAACGCCCGGTCATTATGGCTGTATCAAGACTGAAAATTGCACCAATTACAGCTACAATGACCGGGCGTTCTATTCGGGTGAAAACGGTGGTGGCGGTATAAATGATAGATTCTTCTGTTGTCGTCTGGTATGTACCAGATGGCAGAAGAAGTATCTATCACCATGACGTTGGCTTGATTGCACTCTTACTGTTTCTTGTTATATGTGCTGAAACAGCCTCTGGTGTGTAACTCCTGCTCAGCAGTTGATCGAATCATCAACTTGATGGTGGGCAAAATATTTGGATGGATAATTGCTCATCGGGTGGCATCGGCTGAGTTGCCCCTGCTCCCTGCCTGTTGACGAATATTTACTTGCTTTTGTCGACTGATTGGTGTAGTATACTATGGATTGCTACGTCTGATTCGTTGGGCAAAGGTTGTGAGTTCTTGGTCGCTAGTGTAGTCTAATCACTCTGACACGAGCTGTCTGGTCGCCTGCGAGCTGACATCATTCCTTAATTTGGTTTCTCCCCCCCCCTCCCTCCTGCTTTTGCATTCTTTGATCTTCTTCAAATTATGTCCAATCATGCTTCGAATCTTCGGTGAATAACTTGGTGCTCCGTGCCATATTCTTCCTTCCGCGGCAAGCAAGGGGTGCTGGTCAACTGGGAGAAGGGCAACGAGCATGCAATAGCTTACATAGACCTTCTTGCTGCGCCTAGCACTGGATATGGTGGCAGATTGTCGAGGAATAGGAGGCTGTCAAGCGGCATGTCGCCATGGATGCTGTGCTCAGATGAGTCAGAACGACCCACACATGTGCCTGCCGGTGCTGACGCGGATGACAGTATGAGTGAAGGAGAATGTCCGCGTCACCAGCTATTGACTACGACAGAGGTGGCGCCCACCACGGTAAGCACTTTGACATCACATGATCCTTCGAAAAAGGTCGGAATGCCCCGTCAATTTGGAAGCAGTACATTGCCGTTGAATGATAGTATCGCTGCATGGGCTGGAGATGTGGAAGAGGAAGAAGGCGATGCCCCTGCTATAAGAGGTCAGCAAGAAGTGATCATTGGCGGCCAAGGCCGGGGTGCCCTTCTTTGTGCAGACCTGGATGCAGCGGACGACTTGCACGGCGTGGAATTCTTCAAGGCGGTCCTTGAATCGAAACTCGAGGAGCTTGCAAGGAGAGCCGTTGATTTGCGGCTGATCGCTGCTGAGACTGTGCTCTGCGCTTTGCTCGAATTGCATTCTGTCGATGGAGCACTGCAGCGAATCTTAAGGTCTGTCCAGCCGCAGAACAACGGATGCAACGCGGAGCGAAGCGGTTTTAGTGGTGCAGACTCAGCGAGTCGTACACACACTGAAGGCGGCAATCATTCAGCGACAAGCTCCATCACAAGAAGTGCTACGGAAGATTTGTGGGACGAGGCACTCTGGTTGCTTCACAAGTCAAGGCATCACCATCACAATGATCGACGGGAGCAGGAGTGGAGTTTGCTGAGCGGTAGCAATGGGTCGGTGGCGACTGCGAGAGGGAGGAATCATCCTCCTTGCGGCCATATTCCTGTGAATGCCGACGCTTTGGGTGCGAACAAGTATGTGCCTGCACTTGGTAAAAACAAGAACAGAAGCTCCGAAGACCCTGAACTAGCGTGGACGGCAGTTGCGCTGGCAAAACAAGTGCTTTGTATACAGCAGGAGTGGAGGCTGAGGAGCAAACTATCAGGTGGTGGCTTTGAACAGAAGACGTCATGGGACTTGAGCTCGGGACCAGTTGCTGATGCGTTGACTTCATGGTCAACCCTGTTGATCAATCTTTTGTCTGGAGCAGCGGCACAAGGAAAATTTCAGGTTGTGCTTTTCGCTCCACAATACTTCACATCTGTTCATTTTGTTCTCCTTTTTTCTGTTATCCTGTTTATTTTAAATTTCCCTGTTGCTGTTTCTGCGAATCTTATCTTATTCTTCTGCTATGGATTTTCTAACCTATGAATGTTATGGGTACATTCAAAATGTTTGGTCAGCCCTAATGTATCTGGATTCTGGATCCCAAAGCAGCCCATATGCACTTGGTCTGTTCTGAAGCGGAGAGAGGTCCAAGAATGCTGTGCTTTGAAGTTTGAACTGCTTTCTATTATTATTTTCGCAAAATGTGATGATTTAGTTCTCCTAAACGGCATCCTCCATGACATCCATACAAATTGGAATTTGAAACGATATAGCGAAGATTAGCATCGCCCCACACCCGGAGTTATTACCACTTACTGTTAAACCACTTGTACGTCTGATGAGCCTCTTTTTGCTGAGCCGGATTCTCCCTAAGCGGCGTACGCGCCAAAAAAGACAAACCTCCTCGGATGCGTTTGATTTTTCTTTTGGCTGGCGCTGCCGTCCATTTTGATCCGGCAGCACTTGTCATCCGAAGCACCTGGAATGTCGCATTCTCGATTCTCAAGTTTGCCTCCCGGGTGAGGTGCTGGTGGTTTAACGACCTGGCGGTTGTGCAAAATTCGCAATGCAGTTAGCAGCACACCACGACCACGTGCATGCACTACACATGGGTAAAACAAGCGCTTGTTTTATTTCTTTTTTAACGGAACCGAAGGTGCCAAGACAAGTATGTGAAAAGAGGAGGAAAGGAAGGGATGAATGCTCTGAATTTGAATGTGGGCAATTTGAGTACGACCGTCTTCACCTGAATAGAATGCCCGGTCATTATCACTGCATCTGGACTGAAAGTTGTGGCAAATGCAGCTACAATGACCGGGTGTTCTATTCAGGTGAAGACAGTAGTTACTGTTACTCTGCAAAGGTTTGAGTGCACACTGCACAGGGTGTATCCTACATACACACTCAACCATACAGAGTAGCAAGAGTACTCGATGTACTCAATCCAGTCTCTAGTGCACTCAACCCTACCGAGTAACAAGTAGTCAAATCACCCAAGGAGTGCATACATAGGGTTGAGTCCACAGGCTGTATTGAGTACTTGCTCTCTACTCTGTAGGATTAAGTGAACAGGCTGGATTTAATACTTAGTGCTTGATTACCAACTCTAGTCTGTAGGATTGAGTGGACAGGCTGGATTATAGTACTTAGTGCTTACTCACTAACTCTACTCTTTGGGATTGAGTGGACAAGCTGGATTGAGTACATAGTATTTAGTACTTACTAATCTACTCTGTGGGATTGAGTGGACAGGCTGGATTGAGTACATAGTACTTACTAATGACTCCCTGGAGGATTGAGTGGACAGGCTGGATTGAGTGCATAGTACTTAGTACTTACTAACGACTCTCTGTAGGATTGAGTGGACAGGCTGGATTCAGTACCTAGTACTTAGTGCTTACTAACTCTACTCTGTAGGATTGCACGGACAGGCTGGATTGAGTACATAGTACATAGTACTTACTAAGGACTCTCTGTAGGATTGAGTGCACTACTTAGTGCACTACTTAGTGCACTGATTAGCAACTTGTACTTTCTAATATCTTTGTAGGATTGAGTGCATCAAAGACTGGATTGAGCACATTGAGTACTTGCTACTTTGTAGGGTTGAGTGTGTATGTAGGACTGATTCCACCTCAGCAGACTGTATTGACTTGCTACTTTGTAGGGTTGAGTGTGTATGTAGGACTGATTCCACCTCAGCAGACTGTATTGACTACTTCCTAAGTCTACTCTGTAGGATAGAGTCCACCACAGGCTGCAGGATCGAGTACTTAGTACTTACAAATAACCCTGTAGGATTGAGTGCACAGCCTGAATCGAGTACTCTTACTACGCTGTAAGATTGAGTAGAATGCACAGGGTGGATCGAGTGCATGAGTGGCTACGTAGTGCTGGATTGAGTGCGCGAGTCTCCAGGATGGATTAACGACTGCCTGGGAGAGTGAGTGGTGTGTGTGGGACTGAGTGTACATTGTACGATCTCATTGAACTTGGTATCCTGTAGGATGGAGTGTGCAGACTGGATTAAGTACTCTTACCACCAAGGACTGAGTGTGCAGGCCGGGTGGATTACACCCAGTGATGTAGGGTTGAGTGTACAGAGTCGATTGTTGCATACTTTTACCGCCAAGGATTGAGTGCAGAAGCTGAATCGAACCGAGGACGCTTACTCCTGCAGGAGTGATCGATCACTTGCTCCTTTTTCGGATTGAGTACTTAGGGAAACGAAAAGAAAAACGAAAAAGAGAATCTGGCAGGGTTTGTCAGACTGTGGGGGCCTGTTGCACCTCAAAAAGGTATTGAGGGCATACACACTCAGACTTTTCGGAATGAGCTCCCTGTGTAATTGCCGTCTGGGACATCCAAGGCAGCACCTTATTGCGGTCCATTGCATCCAGGAAAGTCCTAGTGTGAGTATGCCCTCACTGCTTTGATTGAGCGTATGTCTTCTGTTATCTGCTGTCTAGTATCTACAGGCAGGGTTAAATCTTCTTCTTTTTGCCTTGTGCATGGTAGTAGTCATGTTTGGAAGGCTCCACTGCGGACAGTTGTAATCGGGTTGTAGATAGATTGGGACTGCTTACAACACCTCAGATGGGCGGAAAAAATCTCAGTAAACATGCTAATTCTTTTACAAACTTGACAAATTTGACAAATTGTTTGATTGGCAATGATTGCTTTTTTTTTTCTTTTCTTTTCTTTTCTTTTCTTTTCTTTTTCTTTTTTGGTTAAACCACTAGTACCTTTGCCGTCCGGTTTCGACAAGTTTTAGCCTTGTCCCGAACTTTTAGGAGGGCCGGGCCCGACAACGGCTGCCGTTGATAAATCTGATCGGTGGCCATCGTTTCGTTTCGGCCTCCTGACAATTGTCGGAGGCCCACTATTTTCCGAACTGACAAAGGTGCTAGTGATTTAACTGGGGCCTTGGACTGATTGAGTTTGTGAAATTTGAAATGTTGCTCGTTATCTTGTGGGTTGTCAGCCAAAGCTCATGATTAATGGGATCGACGAGCTCAGAAGAGCAAAGGAGTCATCCTCGTGTGCATGCAGTGGTGCTGCATTTCATGACATGCTCGTCATGCGCGTGCTCGATCAAGCAGTAAAGAAAGGCTGTATGCCTATTATCCTGCTATCTTCTGACAGGTATGTGTGGTCAGATGCAGCTCAACAGGTCAGGCATCTGACATCCATCCATCGCCATTTCTATCTGACTGTTTCGGAGATGTTGGCTGGAGACTTTTTCTGTTTTTCAAGTCATCCCCCTTACCCCCCCCCCCTTCAGATGTACCCGTTTGGAAGGCAGACGACACACTCTCATACAAACCACAAAAAAAATTGAAGTACCGGATGTCCTTCGAGACATCCGTTTAATTGGAAGGACACAGAGAAGACTAGCATGGCCCCTGTGCAAGGCTGACACGCATAAATCGATAAATGGTCCAATTTTTTTAAGGAAAAAGAAAGAAAAGAAGAAAGACCTGCACAGGGAAAAGGCAAACAACGGTCTTAGTGTACTCCATGCATCTGCTACTTTCTCCATTTGCTTCCCGAAGTGCACTCGTTTAATTGATAGATATGCGAGGTAAACCGGTTGCAATTTCGGATCTACTCATTTGGGTGGAGAAGGGGTTGACTGTCAAACACACACACACAACCTCCTGACGAGTCGGTGAAAGTCTGACGAAACAGTCTGGCACAGTCGTGCTTTTTTTTGTGGAGTTTTGTATAGCCCACTTGTGTCTCTTTTTTGTCTAAATGAGCACGTCTAAGGAGTGCCAAAGAGTTGGTGCTTGTCTGTTTGGACTGCCTGCAACAATGTTTGGGGGCTGCGTCGTTTGGGGTGGCTGTGTATGGGTGTTCCTTGGGTGATGACAGACGTTTGCCGAAGCAGATTCCTGGCTCCGAGGGTGGGAACCAACAGTCTGCGGGGTTCTACTTAGTGGTGTGAGTAGGTGATGGGCTGCTTTGGTCCGTGTTGGCTGTGTGGACTGCCTTCTCTGTGCTGCTTTGCTGCCTGGCTGCCCATCCGCTTGCAGCCCCTTTACATGCTCTTGCCTTGTCGTTCGGCCGCCTTTTGCCGCAATGCCTTTTGCCCTGGTACCTTTCGCCTCGGTGCCTTTTGCCTTGCTGCCTCTAGTCTCACTGCCTTTTTTGTCAGTGCCACATTTTGCCTCACTGCGTTGTTCCATTCTTGTACAAGCATGCATGCCGGTGATAAGCAACTGGACTGCTGCCCCCCAGAATAGAAGGGGCCATTGTCTGTTAAAAGAAAGAAAGAAAGAAAGAGGTGGTAGTGCGGATGTTGCAGATGTTCAAGACCAAAAAAAAAAGAAAAAAAAGAAGGGCAGTCGGATACTGACATGGTGGTGGTTTCCTATCTGTTTGTTTGTTGTTGACCCTCGTCTTTTTTTTGTGTCTATTGGTTTGCGGTTGTGAACTACCACGAAGCTACTATTCGGCTGATGCCGCTCGCGATTTTGGGAGTGTGGACTTCTTTGAGAGCCTTGAGGTTGGTTGACCCCCCTTCCCATATAGGCCCTCGCAGGCCCTTGCTCCACTACTCACCATATGCACGAAAGAGAAGAAATATGGCGGTGTATCATTCCGTATTCTAGCGGAAGATTCCCTCTCATTTTGCATGGTTGGTGAGTAGTGGAGCCAGGCCC